TGGGCAGGCTCCGTCGTCAGCGTCCCGACGTGTGTTTCTGCTTGCTTGCAGGGTGTCTTTTATGAATAATCAAAAGCCGCAGAAGCCGACGCTATCAGGCCAGCGTTTTAAAACTAGAAAAAGAGGTAAGGTAGCTGCAGTGCGCATACTGTCGGTACCTGCTGTCGGTGCTGTGTGCGTGGCCTTTTGTAGCGAGCCCCAAGTCAAAAGTCAGTTTCTGTCAATAAAGTAACGCCTTTACACTCTTCTCGTAAATCTTATTTAAATGAGACCACGCTAAATACAAAGTCTTGAGGCTGACTCTGTGTGCTAGAATGTTCTCTGCACTAAAAAAATATTTGGCAGTAAGAATTGTAGCTGAATTTACTACGATAACTTCAGCTTAAGAGACGGTCATTCTAGATCTGTACCGAGTGTGTTCAGCCTGAAAGCAGAAGTATCTAGTGCCCCTGAGTTACAGGGGAACTCCAGCACAGGCTCGTTGTAGCTTAGTACATACATCTAAGGACCATCTAACCTAGTAGGAATTTTGCTGTTAGGCTCTGGATAAAAGTTGCATTGTCCCCTTAATGCTATAAGAATACCTGATTTATATGAAAAAAAAAAAAACCCACACCACCACCTCCCGAACGAAAAACAACAACCAAACCAAAACAAAACCCCAAAGTGTGGAATGTGCAAGTGGATATCTCTGTATGGGCACAATTACTTCCATAAGAAGAGTTGATGACTGAAGAGGTGTGACGGATAATTTAGTATTTTGGTGGTGTTTTCTTAAAGAGGAAGCAGGGATAGCTCTTAGAGTTTCTGTTTAGTACTGTTTTGTTAAGGTTCTAGTGGTGTTCTCAAACTGACAACACTAAGGATGCTGTACATACTGAAATAGTAATTAAGTTGTACAGAAGTACATGTTGACTTGGAGAACCTTTTTTAATGTTAAAGTAAAAGTACCTTCAGAAACTGTTGAAGTGGGAGAGTTGGATTTAGTCTGTCCAGCAGATGAAATGCTAGCATTCTGGGGTCTCGTCTCTCTTTAAGCATTTAACCATAGTTTGGCTTCCAAGCAACTCTGCGGTAACAGTGAGCTTCATGGATCTGTCCTGGAAAATAATTGATCCAATATTTCCAGACTTCCACCCAGCTGTTAGCAACGTGTTGATACTTGCATTGAACGTAGGGACACTAGTATGTCCCTTACAGAAAGGTTGCTAACAGATGCTAACAAAATTGGCTAAGCTGTTACAGACAGCACTCAAAGTAAGATTTGCAGCTGACTTCTGCTTCTTGGGAAGCTTTTTCTCTCATAGTTTACATAATCTAAGGACAAATTGAGGTGAAGACCTCCTCATTTTAAGGCTTTCTGTTAGGTAGACAGGTGGATTTGTTGCATATTAACTATGCCCTACCCATAGTGAAAACAAGGCTATGATCAACTCATATATCTCAAATGTGAAGAAGCATGTGTTCTGCTTTAACAATAACAAAGGATGCTAAATAGATCTGCAATTATAGCCCATCATTTCATGTTTAGTTAAGGCTTAAGACATTAGCTCAGATTTCTACGTTTCCCCCACGCACTTAAGGAAAAATATTTGCTTCAGACTCATTTAACTCCATAGTAAGAGGAGGGGATGGTCTTCGTAGCCAAAAAGCAAGTAGTCGTTGGCTCCAACATGATAATGGTATGCAGCTTTTCAGTCAGAAAATTTGATCCAAAATGGCGAGAGTCCCAGAGGGCTGAATTGAACATGAGTAATGCAGTCAAATGTACAAAACTGTAAGGGCACATATTAAGAATTGTCTTCCAGCATGTAGCTAAGCCTCTCTTTTTGGTAGTGATCTAACATGAACAGGGGTATAAGAGTCAAACTGAGAAGTCAGATAAGCTTAATTAGAGCCAACTAATGATCACCACAAACAACGGTTCTTAGTGAAAATACTGTAAGAATTCAATTAGAGGTAACTAAGGAATGTTTTAGCTTTTGATAGCCTTTCCTCCAGCCTTGACTGAATAGGGGAGTGAAAGGAGTAAAACTACGTACTGCTATATTGGCCATTGAAATTCATTTTAGGCTACAGTGTTAAGTCACTGTTTGTGCTAGTTAATACCAGTTGTCTTGGAAGACTGCAAATAACTCAGTTCTGTTTAACTTCAGGCTTGCCAGTGCAAGTTTTGTTCTGTTTTTTTTTTTTCTAAGATTAAAATGACAAACTTTAAAAACCAAACAGCTGTGTGTGGCAACTTCATTTCAATGCTTTGTCTTTACAGATGAAAAAGAGAGGTTTGACCCTACTCAGTTCCAGGACTGTATTATTCAAGGTTTAACCGAAACTGGCACTGACTTGGAGGCAGTAGCAAAGTTTCTTGATGCTTCTGGTGCAAAACTTGACTATCGCCGCTATGCAGAAACGCTTTTTGACATCCTGGTGGCTGGTGGAATGCTGGGTAAGTGTCTTTGATGTGGCTGCTGTCAGCCTTTGTTCACTTGACTCTACAAAAGCTCAGTTCTTTCAGTGTAAAAACTCTGCTAAAGAGCCCATTGAGTGTGTAGAACAGGGTTGAAGTTATCTGTGGTGAACTGTCTGACCATTTTAGTGACTAACTGAGCAATCAGGTTACTGTAGAAATACTCTGTATACCCTACCACACTTTTGCTTGAGTCAGTTTGCATTCTTCAAAGCATAGACTATACAAACTTGGCTTAAAGGAAAATGTATTGGATTTTTAAATTTTTTTTTTTTTTTTACCAGGAGTGGGTCTTGACTCTGTAGTCAAGTTCCCTTCTGCTGATGTGAGATGGATGAATGCTTGTTTCAGGTGTGTGGTCTGTGGTCGCAAGACCAATGGAGTTGCCTTGAAAGATTCCAACGTGATCCTATGTGTTGTGCACCCTGCCCTGTTATTTTGGAAAGTAATATTGTTGGAAGAATCTGAGGTGTATAGTCTTGGAAATGCTATTACGAATGGTTTGTTGTTGGCAATAGCGAGGTCATGGGCTTTAGCAGATGTCAGGGAGTAGAGAAATGAGAGAGTGGTCAAGTCGGCAGAAAACACAGGGAACTGAGGAAGTGAAATGTGATGACAAAAGATCTTGTAAACTCATGTGCACACTGTGCGTAAAGAGCAAACAGTGGAGCAGATGCTCACTGCCCAAGTAAGAAGTAGGTGAAGCTAAATGAGGTTGAAAAGTAGTAAAAAAAAAAAAAAAAAAAAAAAAAGAAAAAAAAAAAAAAAAAAAAAAAAGTGGTACTTCTAGATTTAGGCTTTACATTTCCTACTTGACTAAATACTCTTTAGCGAGAAGGGATTCAAATGGCAGGGACCCATTTAAAATACAGCTGTGAAGAGGACCCTTTATGTTGTCTGCCTAGACTGGAAAAGTTCTGTCTCGGATTTTGGCATTTGTTATGCAAGAGTTGGGGGGGAGGACTTAAATGAGAAATTTGGCAGTTGCAGAAGATTTTTCTGTAGTGTAACAGAAATAGAATTTGGATTACCTAAATGCATGGGAGGAGGAGAGGAAATACCTGATTTTGGACCACAGCCAGGCAGTTCTGCAGTGGGGGTGGCTGGCTTGGGAGGATGCATCTGTTCCATGTTCAGGTGGTCTTCACACTGATGCTGTAGAAACGTCAGGTGACTTGCTCGAAAGCAAGGCTTTCAAAATGGTTTAATTTCATTAAGTGTGCCTCATTATCTCAAAGCTGTGTATTGGAACTGTGTTGTGTAGACTGAAGTTACTGTGATGTTCCTTTTGGCAAGAGGCTCTTTTGGTGATGTTACAAGAACTGGTAGCATGAGTAAATAAACTTGTCTGCCACGTGGAGCATCACTGCCTGAAATTGTTGATGGACAAATTGTTACAATCTGTGGGTTTACATTCAAGAGACTTAACCAGTGTGTACTGTGTTGGGAAGTGTTCCTCCTAGGAATAAGGCTGAGGGGGAAGGGAAAAATGCATTGCTGCGTTAATGGTGATAGAGGGGTCCTTTACTCAGTTCCCTCTCTGTAACAAGTAGCTAAGTGGACTAGCTTTGATCTTTAGTCAGACAAGGCCAAAATAAAAACTGGCATCCTGTTGCCTTACCACCTTTTAATATCCTTACCACTAATGCTTATCTCCATCTTTTAAGTCATGCTTCTGACTAATACATCACAAAAGGATCTCTCTTCTATGGAGGATGGCATAGAAGTCAGTGATGAGGTGTTCTGACACTGGAGTTGGTGACTTGAAGTCACCCTAGTTAGTGAAGCAGCCTGGCTACTAGTAAAATGCCTGTATTAAACTGAAGAGGACTGGTGAAGAAGCATCTTCTAATTAGCAGCTAAAAAGCTGAAGTGCCTTTCAAGACTGAAGTTTCAAGCTCCCCTCTGGGGCACTGAATTTTGAACATGCATCTCTGTGTTTCATCTCTTGTTGTGACTTACTCTGTTATATAAAAGACGCTTAGTTACAAAGCAGCACTATTGCAGCAGACACTGAAAAGACACTTGCTAGGATTAAGCAGCTTTAGTGGCTTCCTTTAAGGGAAGAGGAGCTCGTATGGTCATGTTAACTTACCCATATGTAAACAAGATGTGTTGCCAATCCAAGTTAGCAGTAGGGGTCAGAATCTTTAAATGTGCATATCTAAGGTAGCAGTTTAAAAGGTCCACTACAGCAGTGGAGCAGATGGAAATGTAGGGGTGTCTTCAGTGATCCAGTCATTCAGTTCATCATGAAAGGACAAAGCATTGCATGTTATGGGTATTGGATTTCTTACTGTGGAGACTACTCAGTACTGTCGCTGGGAAGTAATTAGCACTAATGCTGAAACCCTTCTTTAGCCCCAGGTGGTACCCTGGCAGATGACATGACACGCACAAACGTCTGTGTATTTGCAGCACAGGAAGACCTAGAAACCATGCAAGCATTTGCTCAGGTTAGTTCTGCAATGAATACAATTTAACTTAAACTGTTCAGTGGTCAAAAATGAAATGTCTGTGTAGTTGAAAGTTCAGGTAAAAATAATGCATGGCTTTAAGAAGCTTACTAGAAGAGGTAGAGTAGCACTTTTCTAAGCTAAAAGTGCTCTAAAGAGTTCAGATCAACTTCACTGAACTTGATTTTTAAAATTCTAATTAAATGATAGGTCAGAGTAAAAAAATAATGCATTCCGTGTCTTTTTAGGTTTTTAACAAGCTAATCAGGCGTTACAAGTACCTGGAGAAAGGCTTTGAAGATGAAGTCAAAAAGGTATGGAGTAGGTCCTTATCAGCAGACAAATAAACCTTCAAATTCTCCTAGTTAATCACTCTATAAAGAAGAGTTCTATCGTACAATGGATTATTAAAATGGAACACTTAAGTTCTTAATAGAAGAACAGCTAGCTTGTATGACTAGTGGAGAAGACTACCAGTGAACTAGTGCTTCTGCTAGTTGAATAGCTTGATTGCAACAAAAGTGTCTAACATGGAGGCAGTAGCCAAACTTTAGTGAGAGATGGTAGTTTTATGGCAACTCTTCTTACTTCTTCTTGCAGTTGCTGCTGTTCCTGAAAGGGTTCTCAGAGTCTGAGCGGAACAAACTGGCCATGTTGACGGGTATTCTGCTAGCCAACGGGACACTTAATGCATCGATTCTCAACAGTCTTTACAATGAGAACTTGGTTAAAGAAGGTAAGTGTTGCCCAACTCCTCCTTAGGGAACGATGGTGCAGGACAGAACCATGACAAGTAGGTGGAAATTGTGATAACAGTACACCCTTGCAGCTCACTAGTTTCACCTGGTGATAGATTTACTACAGGATTAGCAAAGGTAAATATGCTGCCTTACAACCTGGAAGGTGTTGCTAAGATTTTAGGAAACTAGTCTGTTTAGAAAGCTTGTGTGTAGGACTTCCCTGCATGACACTGGGGGCTGCTGTCACTAGTGTTGTCCAGCAAGGCGGTACTGTATTTTGGAGACGGACCTTTCAGAATGCAGAAGGTGTGTCATGTCTTTAGGCTCCTTCCTAAATTGCAGTAGGGAGAGTTGAGTTTAGTATAGGAAAGCCTTCATGATGTTGAGCAGTGAGAAAAGTCCAACATGCCAGAGGTTGCAGTATCCTCAGGCAGAGGTACTGCAGACTGTGCTACAGCTGCCTCTGAGCACAGCTGCTGCTGCTTTGAGGAGGGGTGTTACAAACCGGGTGCCCTGTGCTCTCAGGCCTTATCATTCCCTTTGTTTTGAATGTCAATAATAATATTACTATTCCTGTTGCACAGGTGTTTCTGCAGCTTTTGCAGTCAAGCTGTTCAAATCATGGATAAATGAGAAAGATATTAATGCAGTGGCTGTCAGCCTTCGTAAAGTAAACATGGATAACAGGCTGATGGTGAGTACCACTGAAATTACTGATTTACTACATAAGCCAGTTTAGTAGACGGCATTTACCAGCAAAGTACTCAACATGCATTTCTTTTGTGAAAGAGTTCTTGTAAACTTCATTTTCAGGAACTCTTCCCAGCCAACAAACAAAGTGTTGAACACTTTTCTAAGTACTTCACTGAAGCAGGACTAAAAGAACTTTCCGAGTACGTTCGGAACCAGCAAACCATAGGAGCTCGGAAAGAGCTGCAGAAAGAACTTCAGGAGCAGATGTCACGGGGAGATCCATTCAAGGATGTAAGTATTTGGCCATAGACAAGCTCTCTAACCAACTGAGCTAACCCGGCTGGTCAAGCTGTAGGTGTTTCTCCTACCCCTTTATTTTTTCTGTAGGAACCTAGCTCAAATTATCTGAAATACAATAGCATCTAATACTAATCTGAAGATATATGCATAATTAAATAGTGAACTTAAACACCTAGCTCTCACTAAGAATTAAAGTTAGGACTGGGGTGTTTTGATATTAGCTTCATAGTCTTTCCTTGATGTGCTGAATCCTGCTGTATGATGAAGGGGGTTGTTTGTGGTTCTGAAGGCTTCCAGATTGCCTTTAGAACAGTAGTTTTAATGTAGCTTAGTGTCGTATGTGGCCTATGTGCTGACTGTTTTATTCTAACTGGCAGATAATCTTGTACGTGAAGGAGGAGATGAAGAAAAACAACATCTCGGAACAGACTGTGGTAGCCATAATCTGGTCAAGTGTAATGAGCACGGTGGAATGGAACAAAAAGGAGGAGCTGGTAGCAGAGAAAGCCATTAAGCACTTGAAGGTATTGTAATTTAAGTATGGACTTTTGCACCCGTTTAATGAGTAAAAACCTACAGCCCCCCCTAATGCAGAGACAGCATTAGACAGGGAATTCTCCCCGTTGTAACTGTGGTATTGTCGTCCAAGTTACTGAGGCAAAATCAGTGTGACTGCTGCAGAAGCACTGTGGGGGGGGGGGAGGGGGGGGGGGTTGCAAATTTCGAAGCAGTGGCTGATGGAAACTCTGAAACTAGTCTAGTTCAGGCAATAAATGTGAAGTGTTCTGTGTGTGCCAATTTGTCGTTCCTGTTACAGCAATACAGCCCTCTACTTGCTGCCTTTACTACCCAAGGTCAGTCAGAGCTGACTCTTCTGTTGAAGATTCAGGAGTATTGTTATGACAACATTCACTTCATGAAGGCCTTCCAGAAAATAGTGGTGCTCTTCTATAAAGGTAACTTCTGTGCAGTTGTAGTTTTGCGGTTTGGGGGCGGGGGCTTGGAGGGGTTGTTTTTGTTTGGTTGGGTTTTTTTAAAGCCTGTATTTGCAGTGTGCTTCAGTCCTGATAAGACCTTTAGGGAAGATCGGTGCTACAACATTGTACTTCATGAGCTGAAGAATTTTCTACCTTATGTTTGCAAAGATGGAGCAGTAAAATGCAAAGGTGGATGCGGTTGGCATATGGGGAAGTACTCCTCTAGGCAAGGGTGCTGCCTGTTTACTAGACTTTAAGAGTTGTGGTCAATCAAAGCTAAATTTAGATTTTTTAAGGCTCTTTGGCCCTTTTAAGTTAGGGAAATTATACTGTATTCTTCTTAGTTCTCTGTCTGAACACTGACGGTGAACAGCCAGAGATTGAGACCACCAAGGTGTTCTGGGGTGCTGTAAGCTCTCTGTTAAAAGGTGTTACTGAAGAATGTGCTGTGCACCTGTGGAAACACCAGAGGAACCTAAGGAAACTAGTTGTTCAACTGAAGATTATATTGTACTTGTAAAATCTAAAAACCAATTAAACACTGCCTGTTGTGTACTTTGGGCTTTAAAGAATTTGCATCTGTTCTTAGCAGTTGACTGAAGCTTTCCTTAGAGTGTGTCATCTCAAATAGCTATGAAAAACTCGACTTGGTAGTGGGAGTGAAAGTGCAGCTCCTAGATGCAGTGCTCAGGAAACCCCCAGCAGCCAAATCTGAAGTGCATGGTTCTCGGAATTTTAAAATAGGAGGCATTCCTAGTGCAGGTTACATCCAGCCATACCTGCGGAAGGAGTATGTGTTGTGACCCTTCTAGGAGAGGAAGCAAAGGCTGCCAGCCACGGGTTCTCAGTAGCTGGTATTCAGTGCTTTGCTGTGCTAATACTGCTCTTGCACATCTTACAGCTGAAGTTCTGAGTGAAGAACCCATCCTGAAATGGTATAAAGATGCACATCTTGCAAA